CACTCTTTCAGTGATGTTCTCTACTATGGCAATGAGACAACACTGCTCATCTTTGATATCCTGTTTTTCTCCATTGTGGATCTGGCTTCCCAAAGTTTTGTTTTAGCTGCTATTCTAACATATTTGCAACAAGAGGTAAATTTTAATTTAAGAACAAAGTAATATTTAAAAAATGTGGGTTAGTATGGAAGTTTATATAGTTAACTAGATAATTAAAGCAGTAGGTTAGCAGTTTGTGGTGACAGAAGATTATAGAGAGCTTATAAAATGGTTCTTTGATTTTTTTTGTCAAATAGGCTTGTGAGAAATTAATTTTATTCACATGCCTGTCATGAATAAAGAGGCTGCAAATAACTTTCAATAGAAAACACAAATATCTGTTAAAATTAATCACATAATTCTATCATATTGCAGGGTGGAAAGATATTGGAAAATATTTCAAAAATGCTAAAGGGAGTTAAGCGCCTAATTCACTCATGTTATTTATGTCTTAAAGATAATATGAAGCTATTATTTTATGTTAGGTACTGAAATATACTGTTTTAAGTATTTCTTTGTTAACACATTTTTTTCTAAAATGTTCTTAGATATTTAGGTTTATTCGTAATACACTTGGGCAGAAGAATTTGGCATCTAAAACCTTGGTGGATGAAAGATTTCTCATTTAATTAAGAAGATGCAAAAATTTGTTGAGGAGTTAATCATGGAAATTATGACCACCATCAAAGCATCTCTGACCTACAGATTAATTGTAGTGCACTTTTCAATAATAGTAATGTAATGATTTTGAAATTTATCATTTTTTACATTGTGTGCTGTTAAACTTTATTTTTGTGTATTTACAAATATTTTTTAATTTGTGAACACTAAGCCATAGGCCTCTAAAAGGAAAGGTACATGAAAATAAGACAGAAGTAAACTTACTGTTGTTATTATTAGAATAAGATAAAAATTATTTAATGGCTTTTGCTAAGATATGGACCACTCTGAGGCAAAAATTTGAGCATTCCAGTTGGCAGGAGAGGTTGTCAACTCTTTAAGTTTTCTGAAAATCCCTTAAACCTTTTTCTCTTTTTTGGTAATTTATTTTGAAGTATAACATTTAGCAAATATATTTCCAGTTTTACACAGCACAGGACTTGTTCTGAATTAAATTAATATTTCAAGAGGGCTATTTAAAGATCACTTATTTACAGCAACTCCAACTTGAAATTTTAACTTTACTATGTCATAGTATGCTTTTGTCTCTTCTCTTGAAGTTTATCATTGTTTTTCTTGGGTGTGGACTATACACGACAAAGTTTCCTTGTGTTTGAGACAGATACAGTAGTGTTACAGTGATGCAGAAAAGCAGGCAGATGAGAGGTTTTAGGTATTTGGTGTTTGTTCCTGATCTTCTGTCATCTGATGCGAGATGCCCAGGGAAATACAGTAATTCTTCTGTGCTGAAGCAATTGTTCTTATCCTTTTAGAAGTGTTTTTACAGGTGCCTATATATGCTCATGTGCCTCTGTCTCTCTAATTTTCTGGCTTTATTATCTTCAGATATAACACAGAGACCAAAATCATTTTACTGTCATCGTATTTTTGGAATTTAGACAAGTTAATAATTATTCAAGTGCCACTTATTAAGTGTTAAGGGAGATTATGAATGGCCTTCAAGACACCTTAAAGTGAGGTGACTACCTCCCATTCATATCTCTGAAAAGTCTCCCTACTTTTTTAAAATTACGTTTTTCAGTAAATGATTAAACATGAATAGTGTTTTCTGGTTTTTTAGCTGTTATTTGTCTTTAGATGATTCAGCAAGGGACTTTTACCAGCAAAAACACCATAAAAATGTAAGTTGAGGTTAGCATGCATATTCCAAAAGAGAAACTGAGGACATGATTAGTTGGACGTAGTGGATTTTCAGTGCAGACATCCTCATCTGAGTTAAAGCAGCATTGTGTTTCAGGTATTTCTTGGCTTCATAAAGAGGAACATGTTCTCATGCTGATACCATATCATATTATATCATATCATATCATGATATGATATTAAACTTGTGGTAACATGGACATAAATCTCAGGGTCACTATTGCTCTAATGCGTTTGCTTTTGGTGTTGCAAAACCTCTGTAGCTTGTTAGTCCAATATAGTTGCTATTAACTGATAGAATGTGTCTGCCAGTAAGGGTATAACAAGGTGGATAACTGAAGAGTTGATTTTCAGCGGGACATCCATTTATTAATGTGCAGTTTAGCATGGGTATTTCCATGTCATGCTTTTCTTACTTCAGTCTACTTCTGTGCACATTTCTTAGTTTGTTGGTGCACACCATGCCTCAAAAAACGTGTGAATACAAAACTTCCAACAGAGTGAAATGTCGACTGTAAATAAAATTAAGGTTGTTACCTTTATAGTGAATGTAGTAATTAAAGTGTCCATTAGGTCCTGTGTCTGTTAAAACAGCCAAAAATCTTATTTCCACCGAGTACCATGACTGTATGGCTTCACTAGTTGCGAGGCTTCTGTCATTGCCTGTGAGTGATGTACCAAGTGCCAAACCTGTAAACTAAGCTAAGGAGCCATCTGGAAAATGGTCTGCAGTAGGACATTTGCAAGGCAAAGTTAGGCAAAAACAACTATATGTTCCAGATCTTGCAAGTCCTACTGAAATATCAATGTACAAGAAGGAATACAATCTTTCTCATGTGACCACATTTATTCAAGAGCACTGATGTGACTAATGGGGTGTAGAAAGTTGCTGTGATGCATAAGTGAGCAAGTATGACCCTAATGAATTACCCTAGTACAGGTCTTTTCTTACTGTCACTTTCCAGCAATATAAGCGTGCATCATTGTCAATGGTAACAGGCACAAGCTTTTTCTCTGTGCAGATTCTGATGATGTGTCTATAGTCAAGTTACTCCAGGGAACAGAACCACACTTCAAACATACCTCCTCCAGAATGGTCTAATTTATAACTGACTTCAGTCAGAATAACTAAAAGTAGTAACCAGACCTGGGTAAACCAGGGAGCGTCTGCAAGTGAAATGAAGATGCAATTGAGCCATCTGTAGACACAGCCGTGTAGTTTAATTTAGTTAGTCCGCTACCAGCAGAAATGGAGGCGTTTCATGTCTGTCATGAGAGCATGTGGGCTCTCACTCTGTACCCTATTCTCAATACTTTTGCTAACCAGGTACACCTTTCCATGCAAAAATAGTGCTTTGAGTTTGCTTTAGATATGCCTTTAATTATCTCCTGCCCAGAAGGGCATGTGAAAGCTTTAATGACCTTGCAATTTGCAAGAACTACTGCTAACAGCAAGTCTTGTTACAGATAAATGATAAATTAATCTAAAAATGTTCTGTCAAAACAGTTCAGTCACTTGGCCCCCTCTTTCTCCTCAGTGCACACACTACTCTGTTGTGTTTTATTTTTCCAGGTCATTTATCTAAAATGTTAATATAGCTAACACAGGCACTCTACATGATTTAGGAAATAATTACAGGAGTCAAAAGCTCCAGGAATTCATAGAAGCTTTTCTTCATTCTTGCTGTCCAGTGAACACTTGAAACAGGTTGACAGCGCTTTGGTCTCCTATTGCTTGATATTTATTCAAGAAATAGCTCTTGTGATTGTATTTCCAACTTAATGTTTTTCCTTTTTTAAAATTAATATGCAGCTACAATGTGTCATTCATGTGATGAGTGTCTTCCAAGTTTCTAAATGTTTTATTTAGTCACATGGCATTTCAAACTCTCCTATCTGTCCCTCTGAGCAATAAAAAAAAACTTTCAAGCACTGGAGGTTTTTTTGTACTTGTTGAATCAGTTGACCCAAGCCTACAACACGCTATTCCTTCCATGAACGTGAGAGGTTTCAGATAAGGGCAGGAGGCTGCTCGTGGCTCTGCAGTCCACAGAAGCTCTGTCAGGACAAGCGTAAGAAAGGGATTGTACAGTTGGTGCGGCAATGGAGGGATACAGTTTTGGATAATCACGACTAATGGAATGAGATGGTTGCTTATTGCTGAGTATCTTAGGGGCTAGATGCCAAAATACTCAATTCTGCAAATAATTATAACTCATATATACAGGCAAGGTACAATCATTTCAAGACTATGTTTAAAATTCACAGGTTTCATGTACTGTTGAGGACTTGATTGATTTGTATTTTACTACAGCATTCATTTTAATGGTAGGAGCAGGGGTGTGATTGAGGTAAATCATACCAGAGGTGAGAAGTGCAACTGGCACAAGGCTCAAAATTTCATCCTGCCCATCAGATTGCTGCAGCGTATGCAGCCCGGCAATGCCATCCAAGCCAAGCTCATGGGGTTTTCTGCTTGTTGTCAGTCTGAAAAGGACTGTATGAGCAGTAGGTGACGAGGGGAGTGTGACATTGTTATGTACCCCTATGAAAACCATGAGTAAACCAGGATGGTGGAAGGAGGTAACTGTCAAACATCTCAAAACTGGTCTCCCTCAACAGCTTCTGCTTTCCCCTACATCTCTTCCTTTCTCTAGCCAGGATCCCAGCCTTTTCTTCTGTACCTTTTCATGCAAGCACTAATCCCCTGTCCCTCCCCGCTGTGCATCATGCCAGCAGCCCCAG